TCACCAGCTGACCTCGCGGTGGCCTGGCTGACTCCCTAAACCGTCTTATCTGACTTGAAACAGATGAAACATTGTTTCGAGAATAAAAAGGATATTTCTTTTTTCCTCAGGTATGTGTTGTGTTTTCAACTTGAAAAAATCATGTAAAGTTAAAATAGACAAATACAAACACATAGTTAAAGCTTCTAAACCAGAGCTTTTTTTCCCCTCTAAAGTATTTATGTATGAGGGCCAAAATTAGGTCTATTGTACAATCAGCACTTGCTATATCCTTGTAGCAGGAGGCTATATATATTCATAATCCAGCTATTGATCTGATTAATGATAGGCCGACACCGCTAACTGAAAGACTGGAGCTGCTGAATGAGAAGGAGACTATTCACTCATGTGTTAGCATCAGAGGCTAGCAGCTAGCTTGGATAAGCTGGTGTTAGCATCAGAGAGGCTAGTGACGAGCATGGAAAAGCTGGTGTTAGCATTGGAGAGGATAGCGACTAGCATAGATAAGTTGGACTTAGCATCAGAGAGGCTAGCGACTAGCATGGATAAGCTGGCGTTAGCATCAGAGAGGCTAGCGACTAGCATGGATAAGCTGGAGTTAGCATCAGAGAGGCTAGAGACTAGCATGGATAACCTGGAATTAGCATCAAAGAGGCTAGTGACTAGCATGGATAAGCAGGTGTTAGCATCAGAGAGGCTAATAACTAGCATGATAAGCTGGAGCTAGCATTGGAGAGGCTAGCAACTAGCATGGATAAGCTGGAGTTAGCGTCAGAGAGGCTAGTGACTAGCATGGATAAGCTGGTGTTAGCATCAGAGAGGCTAGCGACTAGCATGGATAAGCTGGGGTTAGCATCAGAGAGGCTAGCGACTAGCATGGATAAGCTGGCGTTAGCATCAGAGAGGCTTGAATTGGAGAGGAGTAATTTTTGGCCCACATTTCGCACCATACCCCTGATTTATCTAGATTAGCTTTGTAGAGAGGTGTGTGTGTGTGTGTGTGTGTGTGTGTGTGTGT